GTGTATGTGTGATACATTTCTCTGTACAAAAGCTTGAATGTAGAGAGCTCTCTACTCAGAATTGGTTTTGGACCTTTAAAAGGATGTGTAGACCCTGGTTGTTCTGACAGTTAACCCAGTGGTTGGAGTTACCCTCTCAAAACTCAGGCTGTGGGCTGGCCAATGTGCATGTGCACTGCACATCCAAGGATGCTGCAGCAGTCTGAGAGGAGTAAGGAGCGAGCTTGGACCAGAGTGGCTGTGCACAGCAATGTGGCATTTGGCGCAGAAGCCAATGTGTGGGGGTCCCCTTCCATGTAAAGCTCCCCGTGTGCCCCAGTGTGTATCAGATCTAGTGTGTCTGTGCTGCCTAAAGGATGGAGTCCCAATTGGCCTTCTGCCTGACACACAATCTGTGTGAACCCTGAGAATTTCAAAAATGCTATTGACTCACGGAGATAAAGGAGTGAAAAGAGTCTATCTATCCCCCAGCCAGTCTCTGACTTTATTCATTACCTCTTCAAATTAGAATCCAGTCAGGGGTGCCCTCCTGCCAGGGTTCCTCCAGTCATCCCATAACGGTTGCTTTTGTTCAGCTGATGGAGTAACAAATTGGCTCTTTGTGCTTTTCTTCCATGAGGTCCTGCCTGCCTACCCTGTATTGCAAAGTTTTGGGCATTTGCCTATAACAGTGCTTTTGAAGATTTTATCCTATTTTTATATTCCATTTATCGTTTCCTTGGAAATCTTGAAGGAAGGTAGATGCTTGTGTTTATGCTGCCAATTTACCATGTCAATAAATTCTTTTTATTAAAGGCCTCCTCTGGGATTATCTGGCCAGGTTCTTTTATCATGCATTTTTAAAATAGTATTTCCTCTTCCTGCTTTTGTTACAGAATCATTTTGTCAATCTAGATGTCAATCAAACAAAGATTACACTAACGTGTTACAGTATCAACCATGTAAATATTGCTGCAGATCAATACAAGCACCTCCAGGGGTTCCAATATTGACTGAAAATGCCTATTCCATCTATATACTGTTTCAATGGAAGTAATGTAACAGAACAGAACAAAGTTTGCTTATGGTTACCAATAAACAACTGACAGATAAGGGGCTGATTCAGACATTCAGCCAATTTCCTGTGATAATGACTTTCTAACTCAAAAGCAATAATGTTGAATGCTATATATTAAGAAAAGCTCTCATTTACCATATTTTCAAATGTGTCTGAGTTGAAAGAAGCTTTAGAGAATATTTAAGGCTTACAAAAGAGGAAACGTACATTTAAATTAATTATTAAATAATAATGATAATGTGGTGGCAGCATTAGCAGCAGCAGCAGCAATGTCCATTTGTGGAACATCTTATGTTACCGAGGACTCTGTGAGCTATGTGATGTGATTGGTATTTAATCGTCCAATCCCGCCACTTGCCATACGGTCTCCACGTTTAATATGAGGAAACAGGCCCAGAGGTTCAGTAATTTGCCCAGTGAAGCTGGGGACTAGTCGGGCGCTCTCTGGAGCATCTCCCGGGAACATCAGAGACAGGAGCACGTTTACAGGGATGCCCCTTGCGGCCGCAGGCTGCCGCTGTGGTTCCCATGCTCCTCCACTGCAGAGGCGCTCTGAGGAGGGCGGGCGGCCACACCTGCAGTGCTGGAGAACACGTGTTCTCTGCGGTTCTACACGGGATGCTTAAGTTGGGCTTCATACAGACTCTGAAAATGGATGCAAAATGTGTAGAATTGCACATTTCTGGGAAGAGGGCTTTCACCAGATTTCTGTGTAGTCCATGATCCTGAAAAGATTCAGAATTGTCCTGCAAATATTCCTCAGAGGCTGGTTTTAAGCTGTAAGACCCAAGAAATCTTATCCTCATTTCCGAGGAAACCCCATAGTATAACATCTTAGGCTGTACTTACATTAAGAAGAAAGTGGAGGCAATTACCCAAGAGAAAATTTCAAATTGTAACTTGAAATAACCAGATAGCCATGGCCAAGGAAATGAGGTGAAGGCTGCAGCTGAGTTATCTACCTCATGGTAATATAATAATTTTCTGGTTTTCATTATACATGTAGAAAACACCACTGCTTAAAGAAAAAGTGAGTTGAGTTTATCTGAGTTATCAAACTTAAAAAGATATGTCATATAAAATTATGAAAGTACTGGAAAATATGCCAACATTGGCGATTACATTTCGAAATAAAAAAGAAAACATAGAAACTATTTGCTAGTTTTAAACAGCAAAGTATGTAAAATCTTGCTTCGGATAAAAAGTGCAGATGGAGTTTTTCACTTTTCTTCCAAAGTTCTGCTGAATTTCAAAGATTTTCTTTGACTAATCATGTTTGACAGATATAAAGGTGAATGTTAGCAAGGTGATTAAAATTAATGATGGCAGTGTCCACGGGGCTTCGTCTGTGCAGGTGTTTCCCCCCACTGTTCCCACCCTAACTTAAAATATCTGATACATAAAACTCTGAGCTTACACATAATACATTAGGAGTGGTTATTTTCATCCCCCCTGAAACCTATAAAATTCCTTTACATTAAGAGTTCTTACAGGGTTTTTGAAATGGAATTTGATTTTTAAAAAGGTAATAGGTTATATAAAATAAAATAAAAAAGCCTACTGCATAAATTAAGCCGATACTATTAGAGGCATGGTTTCCAATCCTGTATAGCATAGTGTTGAAGTCAAAAGTTACCCAAAGGATCTCTGAATAATCTCTGAATACACCAAGTCAAGCCATTTACTACCCAAGACTTTATGATAACTTACTATTTTGATACTTAACACAGGATTTTATCTATATCTCTGTATATTTATTTGCTATCCGGTCCCCAGCACAGGAAGATTAAGAGTGGCCAACGAGAGGGGTAATGATGGTAAAGGCCAGCGCAAAGACAGTCAGCAGACGGACTGACATCAAGGGAAGAGACAGAAAAACAAACAAACAAGAAGGGAGTCCAAATCCATGAAGAAGCAAAATGCTTGGAGATGGCAGGAAGGAAGGATGGCGCGTCCAGTCATTTAAGCTTTCCCCAAGGATCTCTCTATCTATGGGGATGTTGGAAGTTACTGAGAGCACTGTCCTGCCTCTCTTTCTAGCCCAATGGTGACTCTGGCAGTATCCAGTGACAGATCATGCATTTCCTTAAGAGACTATTCTCTTGGCCCTAGCTTAGGAGTAAACACCTGAGCAAGCAGCTCTGAAGAGCAGGGAACGGGTTCAGCCATTCCACTGCCCTTTAATTAATCACCCTGCTGACTGCCCCAGGATCTGTTCCTGGTTTTCCACGTCTGTGACCCTGGGGTTTTTCCATGGTTCTACTTAACTCACTGTTTGAGCAGTCTAGTCTTTCATATTTATTGTGTTTTGGGGTCTTTTGTTTAGCTGGGCTGGACCTTCCATCTTAATCCATCTGTTGTTTATTATTCAAAGATTCCTCCCTTCCAGTTTCCAAATCTGTTGTGGGTTTCTTTTTATATTTATTCCTCCATTTCGAAGAGACTTTGGATGGAGTACAGGTACGAACATGTCTTAAGCAGCTATCTTCTGTAAATAAAGCAAATATTCTCCCCCTACAATTAGAGCATTAAGATTTCATCGCTTAGCTATCAACCTTATTGTGGTCAAACCAGTACATTTCACAAAACTAAACTGTCAAACTTGAGATTTTTCTTCTTTTGTTTTATCAAATGAATTATTTTGTAAAGAGTGAAAAAAAAAAAAACCGGAAAACTTACAGTCCATATCAAGTATGGCACGAACAGATCTAACGAGTTCCTTAGACTCGAGCGCCAGGGCTGCTGGGATGTTCCGGCCGTTCCTTCCCAGCGGCGTCAGGGAAGTCTGAGACCCTAACACAGCTCTTCTTTCACTGTGAGGACAAGAAAATAAAGCCGGACTTATTACACAGTAAATAACACCTATCTTTGCTAAACCTGAATTCTTACTAGTTATAAACTTGTACAAAAAAGTTTCTATATCTGGGAACCATTGTATTCTTACAGCCATAAGGGAAGTAATTCACAGAAAACAATATTATTGTTTTCAATTCTTTACTGTTTAACAAATAGGCGTATTTTAAAAATTAGGTTGACCTCATATATAAGAAGAAAGGAATGGAAGAATGGGTCCCCTCCTAAGTCACTTGTTGGGCTTATTTCGTGAGCGCTTGTGTTATGTTACCATGATACAGCCTTTTATTTCATTTTTGTAAAAATTCAAATTAAGTACATAAGCATAAATTTATTAAAATGGACATTTATTATTACTTCTAGCAATATTAAATGTAAACGTAATATGTAACCTCGCTCCTGAAATTATCCCTTAAGCGCTTCCATTTGTTGTCCCTAAATCTAAAACAGCCTAGAGCATTTGCATCACTTTTTTTTTTAGCTGAGCCATCCTGCCACCTGTTGGCAGCTCAGCAGCAGCTCAGCTCGGGTCAGGACTCGAACCACTGTTGCTCAGAGCTTGCACTCTTGAGTGAGCTCCTATCCAACTGAGCCACTCGGCTGGCGCTGTATCACTTTTGAAAAATGCAAATGTCACGAAATTAATGCATTCTGATATAATTAAAAATGAAAGGTTTTAATGCAAAAAAAAATCACTATGCTAAAACTTTTAAGTGAAAAGTGAGAGACCATTTTAAACTGATGACAAAACCATCAATACTTACAATCCATCTTCTTAAGCATGATGGTGTTAAATCACAGGGAGAAATTAAAGCATCAATTCTCAAATTCAAATATAGGGCCTTTGTTCTGTGTTCAATGACTAAGGTCAATATCCACTACAGAAGATGCTGTATATTAAAAAATACTGAACCAAATTTTACTAGTGTTTAATTTTTTAAGACATGGTGAAAACATGCTTAATAAAGTTTATTTTTTAATTATCTTTTTTCTATGAACCAGTTACAGGCAAGGGCAGGCTCTGGCTTTTTAATAGTGGTTTTAACCTTCTTTTTTAATACCGAAACTTTTGAAATATTTTTCAAGGTCATAATGATACCTTGGGGCTGGTGTTGGGGGGAGGGGACACACCTATTTTAGAAAAGGGGAATCTGATTACTGAGCATTTTAACATCCGTACTGAAAATAATCATCATAGAATTCACATAATTATATTACATCATAAGCACCCTAGATAACAATGAAAAAAAGTCAAATTCCTTCATTAGAAGAAATAAAGCATTACATTAAAACGAGTTTAAAAGTATATTACTGTAGCTATTCTTCTAAATTAAAAAAATGCTGTGGAAGCCTAAAATATAATAAGAATACAATGAGTCATCTTCACTTATTAAACTGCTGTTTTCATAGTAAAAAGTAGAATTTCCCCATGTTTCTGCAAGCATATATTGTTAGAAGTAGAAATACATTGCTAGTGTCAACTACTATGAGAAGAAATTTGCTTTGAAATGTAAAAACAGGAATCTTTTTTTGTGTGTGTGTCTTTCATTGTATATCAAAATGACCATATACTTGCAGTCTGAAATAAATAAATCTTATTAGTATATTCATAGCTCCTAGTAAGGAGCTATGTTTAAATCGGAAACAAACCATGAATAATAACAAAATCAAGGTATATTCTCCAAATATATTTATTTTCTTTATGTCTATGGAATGCTCAAAAAAATGAAGGAAACTGATCGCACGAGCATGTTTTATAAAATTCTGTTCGCCATACCAACTAATCAGCTGGGTTGGAACTGATCTTGAGCAGTGAACCTGTGGCTAGTATAGCAACTTTTACTCGTATACAGGAGGCTAAAGAACTTCAAGTTCATCTCATCTTTACAGGATTCCTGACAAAGACAAGATAGGTGATTCCTACCTCAATTTTGGAATACTAGGTTACCATGATTTGCTAAATAACTCCAGGAATTTCTTTCACAGAGATGGGGTCAAAAACCATATGTCCTTGTATCTATTTCCACAAGACATTAAAAAATAGTATAGGAGTTATGTAGCATTTTAAGACTAAGAGATTTTAGTATTTTATGCATGATTACCAGGTAAAAAATGTAATTATAGCCATATTCTGCAGAAAGCACTTAAATATTCTTACCTTAAAGTTGATAGAGGAGCAGAATTATCAGAAAATACTTCTTGAATAGCCTAGGAACAAATAAGATAGTGAAGGAGGTATATTGGGTTGTTGGAAAAGTCATGATACATTTTTGCAACAAAAAACATAGAAAAAATACTTCATGACTTTTCCGACAACCCAATATAAGTTTAATAGATTTTTAAATGTCTTTTCTTGCTTAATTAATATTTATAACCTCCCCCTTCAACTGATTAAAAATGTATTTGTGTTACGAGGGGGAAAAAATCAATTACATTAACTTATAATTCTACTCAAAAATATAATAATTATAGAAACATTCCTTTCTATGGTAAAGTTATCAAATAATGTTTACAGAGTTATCACAGTTTTAGGAAAGTGTTCATTAAAACATCTTGGAATCATGTTACCCTGTCTTCATCATTTCTCTTAACAATCTGTCTATTAGCTGGTCTTCATTATCTAGGCAATTTTAAATCTGACTTTAGGTTATATTGCTGTTTTGAACCCAGAGAATGGCTCACTAGCCACCAAACACTCTGACATTTATCTATATGTCAGTTGTCTGTACATTTCTTAAAAATGGATATAATGTAATGTAACAGAAAAATTTACCTCTACAAAATGAAGAAGCTTTTCAGTGGATGCCTCAAAAGTTTTTCGAGCCATTTCTGATTTTCGTAATTGGCAGTCAAGTACTGTGATTCTCTTTCTTAACTCCTGAACACTTTCCTGGATAGAGATATTAAAAAGATCGTCTTACATTATTTCTTTGATTTTACATTAGTGGCTCCTATTCTCAGCGTTTATTAACTAGTATCCAACATTACCATACCATTTATTTTCTCTTTATTATACAATACATATCTTCTGATTTTGGATGGCTCTTAACTAACAGCCTATTTAAAAGTTAAACTGCACAGGGATGCTCAAATTTTATGAGATAAACTGCATATAACTTTATCGATTCCTACAATAAAATACATTTAAATTCATTTACAATGTTTTTTTGGCAACACGGTTTACCAAATGCTGACAGAAACTCCTACCAGTATGGTACAACCCAAACCACTGAAGATATACATATATGAATATATTAGATAGGACAAGGGTCTCAAGGTCTGGGTGGCTTTTACTAAAAACTATTCTTGCTAAATGTTAAAATGCAGCACAGTATCTTGCAGCTCCAGCTGTAACCAGATAAGCTTGACCAGGACTCAATGGGATAAGACTAGCCAACTGGAAAGAAGAAATCAACGTGTAATTAACAAAATCGAGATAAGTTTAGCCAACTGCCAAGAAGAAATCAACATGTAATTAACCAAATAGTGTATATAAGCAATGGCTAACCTTCCCTTCACAGAGACAGAGCTTTGGATGTGAATCCTTTGTCTCCTTCACTTGCTGCAAAAAAATCAAACTACCTAATGACAACCACGTCTCCTTCTTGAACAGAACCCCCCAAGCAGCAAATTCCTTGAGTTCAGTAACATATATATTTAATATATTACAATCCAGGGTAAAGATGAGCTGGCAGGGAAGTAAAAGGGTTTGTTCTGTGGGCAGCAGAGGAATTCCACTGGGACAGCAACAGCAACGCTGAGCGAAGTGATCCACTGGACCAAGAGTGCACTGCAGCAGAATTTTCTCTGAGGGCATATGCTGATCTCTGGAAGCCTAAAGTGTGGGGTTTCCTCAGGCACAAAAGGCAAATGTGAGAACTTTAATAGGTGAACGAGGGACAAACAAAGTCACAAGGTGAACAGCGTTTTGACTTTTGCTCTGGTGAGTGGGTTAAAAAAATATCCCCTGAATAACTGGGAATACTAAATAATCTCCACTCATGCAGGTTTATGGTCAGAATTTATATTATTTGTATGATCTGTAAATTCATAAGCTGAAAATTTACTTGAAATCGATCCCAGGTTGGTAGAGGAAAACATAAAACTTCTCTAGAAGGATAATTTCTAAACTCAACTCTCAAGGAATTCTCATATATATTGTATCAAAAAAACATGACTTCAGGAAATAAGCTACCATAAATGAAAGTCAGCTGAAGGAAACAAATTACACGGTCAGACCTATGAAGATAGGACATGCTGGAGTGATTCATATACAGAATATAAAGTAATCTTTAATATGTTTTAAAAATTTAGAAGAAATTGAAAGCATAATAAAGGGATAAGAAACTCAAAATAGATCAGATAACATTAAAAAACAATCTAAAGAATAAAAATGTATTCATAATTAAATTAGAAGCTCAATTTATGGGTTTACTATCAATTAGATACAACTGGAAAAAGAACAGGTGAACTGGAAGACAGAGATAAAGAAACTCCTCATAATGGTGCAGACAGCTAAAAATGGAAACTATTAAAGGAATAGAAGAGATAAGAAAATAATCAGAAGACTTGGCATGATCCAATCTGAATTACACAAGAGAAACCAGAAAGAATGAAAGAAAAGTAGATCAGGATATCAGCTTAGGGTTTTTTAAAAAAGGCAAAGACATTGTCCCTCAGACCAGGAAGCTCAATGCATCTAAATAATTAAGTCAACACATAGTCAAATTGCTGAACATTGAAGATAAAGAGATCTTAAAATCATCTAGAAAGGAACAGCAGATTGCAAACAAATGACAGCTTGACGGCTACTGAAACCATGGAGTAAAAATACTAAAAGAAATTAAATGCCAACTCAAAAATTCTAAATGTAGCAAAAATATATTTCAAGAACAAGAGTTCAATAAAGATGTTTTTAGACAAACAAAAATGGAGAGAGTTTATTGCCAACAGATCCTCATTAAACAAATTTCTAAAAGCTGTACTTCAGGAAGAAAGAAAATAATTCAAGTAAATAGTTCTGAAGAGCAAGAAAGAATGTCGAACATAGAAAATGGTAAACATGGCAGTCTAAACAAAGGGTGACTGCACAAAATAAACTGTAATAGTATCTAATTTATGGTATTAAAAATCAGGAAAAAACTAAAATACTGACAAAAATAGAAATTAAGTAGGAAGGGATGATCGGATTTATTGGGTTGTCAGAAAAGTCATGACGTATATCTTTTCAGTTTTTTGTTGCAAAAATGCATCATGACTTTTCCGACAACCCAATATGTTCTAAAGTGCTTTTAGAAGAAGGGGGAAAGCTAATGATTAGTTTTATAATTTAAGTTAAAATAGAATGTTAAAATTTCTAAGATAATCATTAAAAATTAGAAAAAGAGTGTAATAACTTCTAAACCAGCAGAGGGAAGTACATGGGATGGGAGTGAGGGAACACAGGAGAAATCTGAACCAACCCCTCCACCCCCACACACACAAAAAGGCAAGAAATGAAAAACAACTAGAAAACATGAGACAAATAAAAGGTACAAATTAAGAGGATGAAAATGAAGCCAAGTGCATTAACAAATAAAAGAATGTAAACGAAACAATCTAATTGAAGGTCAAGAATTAGTAGATGGTAGAAAAAAATCCAACATGTTGTTTACCGTAGACACAATTAAAATATAGAGACACTGAAAAGTTAAAAGTAAAAGGATAGAAAAAATACATAGATAAATACTAATCAAAAGAAAGCCAGTATAACTATTTTAATATCAATCAAAAACAAGCATTAAGGGGAAAAGAAGAATGCTAGATTGAAGAGTCACAACATTTTCATAAAAGAATGATAACATAATTCCAAGCTTGTATTCAGCTAAAAGCACTATTTCAAAATACATAAAGAATATTAATCACAAGGGAGATTTTAACACACTTCCCCGACAAATTTGTACGACTACAGAACAATTGAACCCCACAATGAATGACTCTGATGTAGTGGTTTATAATAAAGTAACTACATCAAACAACTGCAGAATTCTTTTCAAGCTTACTTTAAGTATATGTAAACATTGGCCAACAGTAAGCCATGAAACAACCATCAACAAATATTATTATCCTACAGACTAGATTCTCTGGCCACAATACAATTAACCTTTCTGTGCCTCAGCAGTGTTTATAAATCAAGACTTAATGATAAATATGTAAACTATCCCTAAATTAATCTATATATTAAATGCATTTTCAGTAAAAAGGCCAATTTGTTTTTCTTTCAGAATTTATAAATGGGTCTAAAAACATCTAAAAGGTCAAAGGGTCAGGTAGCCAACACACTTTTAAAGAAAAAGAACTAGGCAGGGTGATTAGGTCTCAAGACTTGCTGTAAAAGATATAGTAATCAATACAATGTGTTATTTTCACAGGAATATAAAAATAAATAAATGAATGAATGAATGAGTGAATGAGAATAGAGGCCCCCAAAGAACCTCACATATGAAATCTTGATAAGACAGCGCTGATTTGTAGCTCAATCAGGAAAGAAGAAGCTTTTGAATAAATGGTGTTGGTGTAGGTTGGTTATTCATTTAGAAGAAGGAATGAAATGGGTCCCCACCTTACACAATGCCACAAAACCAATGACAGACGGATCAAAACTTTAAAACTGTTAGAAGCAAATATAAAGGAATATCTTTATATCTTTGGGAATGGAAGGACTTCTAAAAAGACACGAGGGGAAAATTGATTAAGTTTGATTACATGAAAATTAAGAGCTCCTGTTCATTTCACCAAAGGGTGTAAACGCAAGCCATTGATTCAGAAGATTTTTTTTTGTTTTCAAGATTTTATTGGGGAATTGGGGGAGGAGAACAGCGTTGGGGAATCGGGGAAGGGAAAGAGACAAGTTGCTATCCTTTTGTCCTTTTGGGGAGGACATCACTTCACCAGCCCATGTTGGTATTACCACTGCACTCTTCCTGGGAGAGGCAGTTGCTCACCGGCCATTGGATGACCACTCACGGCAGCTCATGGCAGCTCACGAAAGCTCATGCCGACTGCTGGCCAGCCCCACTGCAGCCTATGCTGTCGCAGGTGACTCACGGCAGCCCAGCTCCAGGTCGAGCTGTTGTTCACCATCTTAGCTGTAGAGGGCGCAGTGTCACTGGCTCTCATGTGGGATCCGAACCAGGTCCTGTTGCTGAGAGCTGGAGCTCCCAAGCCAACTCCTAACCAATGCACCGCTCAGCCAGCCCCAGAAGATTTTTATAATATAATACATTGCAGGTCTAGTAACCAGAACATACAAGCACTATATATCAACATGGAAAAGCTAAGCCAATGGAAAAGCTGCTAAAGGATATGAAGAGGCATTTCCCATAAAAACACAAATGCCTAATAAATACATAAATATATTCTCCATTGGCTATCTGGGGGCCAGGGGCAAAGCCCTAGTTTATAGCATGTGGGGGTGTAAATAACCCCATCATGGCTGTTTTGAAGCTATCAACCTGATGTCGATAAATATGGAGTTGAGGAGATGTACACAGTCAGCACTCCTAAGCCAGTGCCAGCTGATTCCAGCACATCAGTAGCTCAAAGTCACTGCTAAACAAGAAAATTCAAATTAGACCACAATGAGATATACTTACCACACCCGACAGACTGATAAAAATGAAAAATAAATAAAAACCAAGTGTCATCAAGGATGTGGGGTAAACTGCAAATCTCATTCACTGCTGGTGGGAGTAAAAATTGGTTCAAACACTCTCAAACACAACTGGGCATTACCTAGTAAAGTTGATGGTACAATCATCATTCAACCTAGCAATTCCACTCCAAGGTATGAACCAAAGAGAAACTGTTGCACTTGTAGAGTAGAGCAGGATACACAGACACATTTTAAGAAAGGAAAAAACTATTAAAATTGTAATACTCAATATATACAGATAACAAAAGAAGAACACAGGTCATGTTTGACACCTGCAATTACAAGAGGTGCTCAAAGTGGTTACCATCAGCGTCTAGACACTTCTGATTGCGGCAAACTACTGCTTGAGTAACGTTACCAAAGTGTCCACTTGTATGCATTTTTTCTGGCACCCCCGCTACAGACACAAAAATGTTTTTAGCAATGTTGTTCATAAGAAAAGAAAACAGAAACAATTAGACTGTCCATCAAATACAGAATGGATAAATATACTATAGTATATCCATTCAATGGCGTACAAAAAAAGCAAACGAAAGATAGAAGCTAGCTATAAACTTCAAATAGATGAATTGCAAAAACAGTGTTGAGTGAAAAAAAGCAAATCAGAATAATAATAGTTTATTTCTATTTATATAAAGTTGATAAACAGACAAAACTAAATAAACACCATATTGTTATGGGATATATATATATACGTCATAAAATTATCAAGAAAATGGTTATGGGATATATACATAGGTCATAAAATTATCAAAAAAATGGTAAACACTAAATCTAGGAAAGTGGTTACCTCTGAAGGCAAGGGAGGGGGATATAACTAGAGAGGGACATTGTGAGTCTGAAGTATTGACAATGTTTTATTTCTTAAAAGTGAGATGAATAAAAGAAAAAAAAACATGGTAAATAAGTAAATAAATAGATTATACAAGGGAAAATTTATAATGAAAAGTAAAAAGATTGTTACAAAAAGAATCTGTGTCTTAAAAAGAAATATTTGAATATGGATCCTATAATAGTATTGGTGTATGTCTCTTCAAGGAGTCACAAACACAAAAAATGTTTCCTTCTCTTTCTCCACTGGCATTGGGTTTGGAAAATGTTAAGATGCCCAAGTCTAACATCTCTTCTTTAAAAAAAAAAAAAGATTATTTTCAAAGACAGGTTAATGGCTTAGCGTAGGGTCTTGTTAACAGAAATGGCATGAGACCCCATTATGCTAAAAAAAAGAAAAAAAAGAGAAGAACTGAATTAATTTTATTACCAGACAACTTAGGACAAAAATGCTTCTCAGCTAGGAGCTGGAAGAGGAAATAACCTACATTTTAAAAACAAATTTGAATAAATTCATGTGAACTCCTTGAATGTTGTATTATTTTCTAAAGTATTTTAAAGACTGATTTTCCCTCCAAAAGTAACTATAGTTACAAAAAATTACTTTCAAGATTTTGATCATTCCCCAAATATTTTTTTTTTAATCATGTTAAAGTTACTCACACGAAATAAGCACATATCTCTATTTTCAGAATGTAAGTACTGGGTCAAAAACAAAAATGTATGTAATATTCCTAAATATTGCTGCTTTCTCAAGCAATGTTTTCCCCTTGGCCTTGTACTAGCATTAAAGGGTGGCAGTCTTCTTGTGGAGCTGGTGTAAGTGGACAGATGTGAGAAACAGATTAGTAACTCTTAAGTGCTAACCTGAAAAAATTTCAGATTTTCTGAAGTGGTTTCATTTCCACTTGGTATAAAGTATTTAACCCTTTTAGGTATAAATAAATAGACATAAATAATTCAAATTTGCTT